AGGGAAAAAGTGTGTATCTTTCCCAAGAAAGTCATTTAATTATAAAGTTTAAATCTTTATTTTATCTGTATATAATCCAGAATATTTTCTTAAATATAGATCTAATCTAAAATATTTTTAGATCATGCTATTATTCTTCAGCTTTGGCAAAATTTGTGCATGTGTCTGTGTGTGTGTGTGGGGGGGTCAACTAATGTGTGCATTTCATTTAAGAATATGAATTGTATCTACTTTCTGAATAATGAGGCAGAGCAAAGGAGGCCAGAGGAGGTTGGCAAAGATTGACACAATTCCAAAATCTTCTTTCTAATATAACTTAACTGAAGACATTCATTGGTGAGTTATTCCAATAGGTGAATATTAAAATCCACCTATTATGTAAATGAAATATAGGATGCAAAGGTTTGCAATGAAAGTAAGTTTTCACTGTTCATAAGGATAGCATCATTTGGTCAACAAAGACCAAGTCCACCCTGATCAAACAAGACACATTAGCATCAACAACTGGAAACACAATGTCAAAATTTCATTTATAAAATATCTATGCCTTCCAACTGCAGCTGCATTTATTTGGCTCTCTGTGTTTTCAATACATTCCAAGGGAAAGTTAAATGCTGACTGAATTCAACAATAATCTTTTGGGGCTTTGTTTTCCTCTTTAGATGCAATTATTTTCAGCTAAAGTCTTCAAGAACAAACTAACAAATACAGTGGAACTAAAGGTAAATGTTACTACTGTGCTTTTTAGCATCATAGTCATATTCATAGCTGTTAAAAACTCTAACCAAGGAGCTGTCTTTTCTATAAAATATTCATTTATACTCATTTTTTTCTCTAGTTCTTTAAAGGATAACTGAGATTCTGCTTGCTAAAGATGAATATACTGGATACTCACATTTGAACAGTCACATGTGATTTTTAAAAACTAACCTGAAAGTTTAAAATAGCAGAAAAGTACTAACAAGCAACAAGTATATATCTTAGTATATGAGAAGAAGAAATAAAAATTTCTTTACTGCTATTCACTAACATGATGGATTCCTCAGTGCTGGTGCCTTTTGTCCTGCTTATAATCTTCTTTCATGAAATCTTTTTAAAGGACAGTTTAAATAGGTTTGCTAAAATTTTAGAATTCCTATTTTATCTGTCATCCTACCTCTTTTTTCTTTCTGCCAGCTGTTTGCAGACCTCCTGCCACCGCAGATTCAGGCCTCCCAACTTCTCCTGTAGAATATTAGCATCGGTTTTTGAGGACTGTTGAATTATTTCTTCCCCAGTTGCGTTCAATGTTCTTACAACAGTTTGCCGCTGCCGGATGCCATCCTGGAGTTCCTGGAAGACACCAAAAAAGCAAAACAAAAATGAAGCCCCATGTCTTTCTATTTGAGAAAAGATTAAACAATGTGCTACCACATGCAGTTGTACTGGGAGAGAAAGAAATATAAAAGCTCCATGTGAAAGTTGCTCTATGAAACTGACATGCCCATTTCCAAAGGATGCAAGATGCAAAAACACCTTTTATGTGTCAGTTAAAAAAGCACCCTCTCAGTTCAGCTCCAGTTTTTATTTTTGTAAGCTTGTCACCTAGAGGATGTTATAATGTCCTACAAATCAATTAGTTGGAAACCTTCTCAAGAGCAAATTCGATTTCTTGTCCCCACAAGGATGTTCCATGTTTAATAGTGTATGAAGTGTTGTAAAATTTAAACGTGAACAAAGTATTTGGGTTTCTTAGTGATTGTCGATATGAGAGGTGAAAAAGAACAAACAGAGTTTAGCCGCGGCATTTTTTTAAAAAACCTCTAGAGATATTTAAATAAAATTAATTACTATCTTAAAAGGAAATTTATTTCCTCTTCTGTTTGCATCAATGTATTTTGCATTATAAAGCCACATAAAACTGAAAATTAATTGCTTTCAGGGACAGCCCATCAAGAAACCCCGAAGGTAAAGTAATAAATTTTAAAATAATCTATAGCAACCAGAACATTTTTATGAGTCATTGATGGTGTCAAGTTTAATATCTTCTTCTTTTTATCCTGAATAAAATTTTAAGACTAAAGTGTCAGAAAAATAATTTCACTAAAAAAGAGACTATTATAACCAACTATGCACAAAACCCAAAATGCTTCTTTACCATTAAGTAATAGAGATTATTCTCTATGTCCCTTCTTTAAAAATATAATTAAAATTTATAAGACAAGTAAAATAAGTTTAAATCCTAAGCTTAGAAAATGAAACAATATATGAGAACTTGAGATATCTACCATATTTAGATCTAAATCCTTATGTTATTGATAGAATAATGTCAATATGCAGAATACTCTTCTAATATATTTGATTTAAACTGTATAATATTCTTATATTCTTCTCCCCTTGACCTGATACCAAGCTCATAATAGACCTTGGTACATTCTAGTCCAATAAATGAATGCGTTCATGCTTTCTGACACTGAGTCAAATCTTCCTTAAATTCTCATTCCTCATAAATTTGCTGGAATTTTTTTACTACGCTTATGTAAAATCATTTTTAAATACTGGAATTTTTGGAAACATGTTTTAGCAATTTAAATACTCCATAATCCAGCAAAAAATAATTAAACCATTATATTCTAAGCACACAGTATCTCACAACAGATATAAAAGTATGCACAGCTATTAAACTATTCACAATTTGTTGTGACCATTCACTCTTGAATGCCTGTGATATAAACTCTAATAAATGTATGACATTTCCTTCCAACTAGTTGCCTTTGTTCTGCTGCTAACATCTCACTCTTTACCACCTGTTCAGATCAGTGTTGCCTGTGACAATCACTGCTTAGTACCAGGGACACCAATTGTTAAAAAAAATGTGTCTGTATTCCTATCATACAATAAATTTCTTGAGGTCAGAGATTGTGCGTAATTCATAATTATGTTCTATTCCTTAATACAATATTCATTACCTGAGGGGTTTGAATAAGTATCTGCTGAGTGAATGTATACATCTATGAATAAAGGGAGTGGGGAAGGAGAAAAGGGAGGAAGTAAGGAAGAAACAGAAGAAGAAAATATGGGAGGAAGAGAGAAAGGGAGGGAAAGAAAGGAAGGAAGTTTAGTCTCATCATTGACATGGTATTATTACTATAAATACTCATCATTGGGCCTTTTAGATAGTCAAAGAAAAAAGCCCAAAATAGGTATTCAATAACTGGTAGATCAGAAGAAGGATTATCAGGACCAGCAGATGGCATAATGGTTATGTTGATGGACTCCCATGTAACTGGTAGATCAGAAGAAGGATTATCAGGACCAGCAGATGGCATAATGGTTATGTTGATGGACTCCCATGTAGTCAATCATGGTTCGAGTCCTGGACCCGGTGGCTTAAAACTCAGACCAGGAGCATGTGTGTACATGCCCAAGATGCTGAGAGAAGAATGGTGGAGAAGGGATTGTTGTGTGGCCATCCTTCCTAGGGGGTGATTTATCCCTTTCTATCTCTCTTTCTCTCTGGCAAGCACATGTACGCTATAGCAAAAATCTCTCAAAAAAAATGAGAGAAAAAAAGAAGCATTACCTCAGTAGAAGAATGAACAGGAAAGACATCTAGGAGAATTTGGAATTTAAAGAATTGGTAGTCAAAGGCACATGGAGGGTTGGGGCAACAAGAGGATGACAGAAGTCAAAAGCCTGTGGTGTGCAGTCTTCGTTATCTGATCCGAAGTATCCATGTGGGTTCTTAGTCACTATGTAAGAGCAGGAATTTAGGGACAGGTGCAGCTCTGGGCATACACTGGGGCCTTCCCAGAGAGAGTTTCTTATTAAGGAGTCTGTTGTCCATTAGAAGGCCACAGAAAACAACTGAACTTTAAAATAAAGGGTACCAAGATTAGAGCTATGTTTCTGGATTATTGTGAAGCAGAGTCTAGGCTAACATTGAGGCAGGGAAACAGGTAAAACAACTAGGACAGGAGTCTGGGAGATAGATATTGGGGCTAAAGCGAGAGTTTAAACAGTAGACCAGAAAGGGAAGCCCAGAGGCATCATGAACTGTTAAGGAAAAATCAACGAGACTTAGAAATAAACAGGAAAAATGGGGGAAAACTGCTTAAAACTTAGAAGTCTTATAGGGAGGCTTAGAGGAAAAGATTAGAGTTCACATGAGTATGCCCAATAGAGTTCATTATTTATAAGTAGGCAGCCATCAGATATGTGCTATAACCTATTATATTTTTAATTCTTTTTAAAAATTTGACCAGAGAAAGAGAATGTGAGAAAGCAGGCCAGCAAGTCCAGAACTTGACTCGCAGTTGACCACATAGGAGTCCAGCGCCTTAACTACCACGCCACCGGCCGGCCTCAGACTTCTCAAATTTTAATTGCACAGGAATATCCTAAGAAATCTTGTTAAGCTGCAGATTCTGATTCAGTAGGTCTGTGAAGGGACCAGAATGCTGTATTTCTAACAAAGTTCAAAGGGATACTGGTACTGTTGGTCCAGGAACAATGTGAGTAGTAAGTAATGCAGTAAACACTTTTGAGTCTCTGTTAAGTAATCAGGAAATTCTTATTGCTGACCATAATGATATAAACTAAAACTACTTTGGACTTTTTATCTTGGCCCCTTTGCTTTACGTCTTTGATCTTGGCCCTTTTACTTCATGGCTGATGGCTACAGTGGCTTTTACAATCCAACTGTCCAATCAACAACGGGTTTATTATGCCTGTTTCACAGATAAGAGAGAGAACTGAATAGATGCCTGTTTCACAGATAAGAGAGAGAACTGAATAGCTAAGAATGAAGCAGTAATTTAAAATTATTATATCTCATTTATGAACTATTCCAAATCAGGGCCTTTAATTTTCTTTTTGAATTTTGTGAAAGAAGAGCTCATTAAAGAATCTAATTCTTTGTGTGAGATGATTTTGTAACCAGGAGAAATATTTACAGTGTGTGGCCTACTCTGGGAGACTTTTCAGTGTTAAAGCCTAAGAGAGCAAAATAATGGATCAAAACAGAAAGTAAAAATTTGTATGTACTGTTTTACAGTTAGCCTCTGAACTAGAAAAAGATAACATTTGATTTACAAAATTGAATGTAAAAAATCTCAATCAACTTTATTCACACAGTGAAAACCAGAAATTAATTTTAATTCCTTAGCTTCTAAATATTTTAAGTACTGAATTATTCATTACCAATGAAATTTCTAAGCTTTGATATCATACTAATGTACTGTTGTCATAGGCATCCTTATCTATTTCTTTGGCAATTAACATCTAGTCTTAGTTTTGGACAGAAAGAAAATCATAATTAAATCTTTTGGATTATTCATCATAGTCAGAAAGCTTATTGTGTTTTGATTCCAATAATAAAGCATTTGTTCTTAATAAGGAGTGCATATCAGACTCCCCTAGGAGGTTTTGCAAAATATAAAAGCCCAGAGCCTAAGCCTACTACCCAAAGCCTTTTGAGTCAGAATCTCTGAGGGTAAGGGGACAAAGGTGTACAAAACAGATATGCTATACAAAAACAAATTTTAATAGGTAGGCTAGAGATACATGGAAAGGGCAAGGGAGCAAAAGGAGCATATTTTAGAAATACTGCATTATTGGGATCAGCAGATGGCATAATGCTTATGTGGCTGGACTCCCACATAGTCAACCCTGGTGCAAGTCCTGGACCTAGAGGCTTAAAACTCAGGCCAGGTGTGTGTGCATGCATGAACAAAATCCTGAGAGGAGGATAGAGGAGAAAGGATTGTAGCATGGGGTAGGGGGTGATATCTTACTTTCTGTCTGTCTCTGTCTCTCCAGCAAGCAAATACACCCTATAGTAAAAATCTCTCTCTAAAAAAAAATTACTGTATTATTCTCAACTTCTTTAATGCTTCCTAAATTGAGAAGTATTCCTAAGTTACAGAAAATGACATTGTTTTGTATATGTAAGTCCTTCGAGTGTGGTTAATTTGAGTTGAAAAAAGAACTTCAGGCAGAGAGAAACTGCTACATTTGTATAGAGGGAAGAATATGAGAAGAAGAAACCATTGCTCTTTACATCAAAACATTGCATACATTTTAGAAAGTATATTTGTAAAACTTGAAAACTATGAAAACATAATACATGCAAAATAACATGACAAATGAAGAAAAGGAAAAGCTAATAAGGAGTTATGGGAAATTGTCCAGTGACAAATTAGATAAGCTACATAGGAGATAAAGAATTGTCAAGAAAAAAAAAAGAAAGAAATTCACAAACTAGGGAGCAAAATAGAAAACAGAAGAGATAAAATGTGATTGGGAGAAAAGATAAAGACTGAGGGAAATAGAAAAAAGAAAAAACAAACCAC